ATAATAGCTTCAACCTGCGCAGGGGTGCTCCGCTAACTCCTTACACAGGCAGGTAAAGGCAGGCATTGAGGAGATACTGTCGCTAAAAGCCTTTCTGGTCATGTTTTCAAAAAGGCAAAACAACAAACACCACGAGAGACCGATCCCATGACCTCTCGCCTACCGTCGTTGTTGTGCGACTAGAGAACGGTGCAAATGTACGCTCGGTCAAATTGTGCGGTACCATGAGCACATTTCCAAGACCTGCCTAATTTTTAAAGAGTCTAAAGGACATTCATATGGGAGCACCTAAGACGTTCCTCCAGATGATGTGGCAGTGGCCTTGAATCATTTTCGACAAGAGCTCGTACGACGTCAAACTTGACAATAATCGTGCCTCGCGTTGCAAAGATCAGAGTTTCCGCTAGAGAAGCCTTTGGGCCATTTTGCTACCGTCATGTGTGAAGTCGAGTTCGAGCCTGTGAGGTAGCTGATTCTGCGCCTCGTTTTCGGTGGCCGATAATTCCAGGCGGTTCTTACAAAAGCCCTTGGATGGCCTCGTGGGAGAAACAGATTTTGTGCGATGCAGACGCCATTTAGGAAAGCTGATTGGAGCACCGTACGCAGCACAGTCCGTTCTTTTTCTATACCACTACTTTCGAAGTAATTGTTTCAAAACTTCCTTTACAACCTAATATTTCCGGACTGATGCACTAGTTTTCGGCCTGATATTTTACGACCGGGCCAAAGGCTGGCGCAAGGTTGTAAGAATCTGAATGCCCGACCGAATTGTTCACCCAGTCTGAGAGCACTGACCCGTTGTAATTGGGCCGGTAGGTGCTACTTCCGATGTGATCAGCAAATGAACAATGCTTCCGAAAGAGGGCAGTAACCCATCGGCCTCTGCAGTGTCTGCAAAAAACGACCTATATGGGACTATCAAAAAAGCTTTGACGTCGCATCAAATTAACCGTCAACCTACTCTAGTGTCAAGTTTCTTAGTCCTTGTTGGGAAGCGAAGAATAAAGAAAGAACAAATATCAGGGATTTGATTTTCTCAGAAAATTTCAGTCTAAATTGGCCGGAGCAGTTGAAGAGGAACTGGAGCAACTCCTGGGTTACAATCATTGATTAATGAATAAATACGATTTTATTTACGATTAAATATAATTTTGGCGATAGGTAATGAGGTATCAGGTTCTCAAAAGTTGCTATTTCAACCTGGGATGCAGTAAATTTTAACATCTACATATATTGAATCAGCAGTGTTGAAAACTATTAAATCAGGTTCTGGAATACCATCAGCAGAGGTTTCTACCGAAGCGTTTGATTACATTTCTCTGCGGATCAATCAATATTGACTACCTGTTCAGTGGTGATGTCAGCTCGCGTATGTCCGTTGCCGATGCGACGTGAGCGTAGTGACCTTTGTGCGTCGTCCTGTCATGCGGTTAGCCAGACACACGGAACGCAGTCCTGGACCCACATGCACAATGAGCACGGCCGTAAAACCGCTGCAAACGGCGATTCCAAAACGCCAGCCATTACGGCCGCCCGACACGGCGTGCGATCCAAAAATGATAAGCAACTGTATCGAGGAGTT